AGAAATACGGAATCAATACCCAAATCAGCTGTGAAATTCTGCAGGTGAGAACTAACCCAGATAAAATGGGGACTTTTTTTTTTCCTCAAGTTTACAATAAGGAAAGAAATAAGGACCTGTAAAAATATTCCCATAGCTCTTGCAATAAATACAAGTAAAAATACAGTATCAAAACTTGGGACTGCACCAGCAGAATTATTTTCCCTTCTGAAGCGTAACAGAGGATGTAACCAGCAGAGACATACCAGAAGACAGTATCATGCATGGATGACATAGAGCATTTCAAGCATAGCTCAGAAGTCCTGTATTGATGAGGATGTTAATGCACATTCTATACATAATCCTGGCAACATGCTGCATAACCCTTACACTTTCAGTAACAGGTGATGCTTTTTTTATGAGAAGCAGCTATTCCCACCCCAGCCATCAGTCCCCACCCACCCAAGGGTTCTGTTTTCACCCAGCCACCCTCTCCCCTGCATTTCCCCTTCCCCTAAGAGTGCACGAATAGAGAATTGCAAACATTTCACACTGCACGTTCCACTCCAAGTCCTGGATGAGGGGCCTGTTTATTCTATGAATATTGCACTTATCCACTCATTGGATTTGTTTTTTCTCAAGAATGCAGAGTATTTGGGAAAAAATAGAAAAAAATTAGTAGGATACAACACAGGAAAATATGAGTTATTAACAAGCTACCTATGAAGATCTAAAATTAAATAGCACTAGTTCTACTCTGTTAATACTAGTAATATGAAAATAATGAATGATTTATCAAATTCCCTTGTTTTTCATATAAGATAAAAGCAGTAACTTTCTTTTTAACTGAGGAAAGCAATGGATATATATTACAATAAAATACGATTCATTAAGATCTGAAAGTGATGAAACCAATTATATAATGCCTTCGTCAAACTTTATAGCATCGTAACGGAAGGAGTCTTTGGGGTGCATATTCACAAGGGCCAAATCCATTTTTTAGCTTTACCCGTGCAGACGCGAAATTGTATTTTAAGAGCCTAACTGTGAGCCAATTTCAATTCTTCGTTATTGCGTATTTGCTATTATTTTACACATCAATCAAAAAACTTCCTGTCAACACATCAGTTAAGTATCCCAGCACGCGCCCGCGGTATCTTTTATTCTGATAAGTTTGGCTTGCAAAAAACTGTGGTACGTGTGACTACACCCACCCACTGCAAGGCGCGAGAGCTAAAACAATTAACAGGAATTGCCTCCCATGGAGAAACACCACTAACAAAAACATTTTACTCTTGCTGCTATGCGAAAGTGTTTTGAAAGGGGAGATGAGGGAAACCAGCAATTAAACTTTTCAGGCATTATATAAACCTCAATAACGAACTCAGAAGTGCTCATTATTATTAAAGTTGCAGTATACAGCAAGACACAATTTTCACATTCTTAAACTTTGTTCTCTGGCATTGGAGTTTGGATTTTCTGCTGGTCCAAATTCAAGACTTTTTGGAAAGCACGAAGAGCGGGTGAGAACAAGGCGGTGATAGCAGCCGCCTCTCCCCCCGGCGGAGGGCCCCCTTCAGCTGCAAATGGCTTTGCCCAAGCCCTGCAGAGCTCTTCCTCTGAACAATCTGGTTCAAGAATAAACCAGAAAAGAGAAATTTAAACAGTACTATTGATTTCTGCATTGAGTGTTCACTGAGGTGTACGTTACATTTAAATATTGCTCTTGATCCAGTGTCAGTTCTGACAAATTTAGTAAATAAAGCTTAAGGCAACATTAACATTTTAGAAAAGAACTAAAACACTTCTAGTACTATACTGTCCTCTGAAGCACCCTGCCAGGTTTTCCTGCCCTGCAGTCAGTTTTTCTGATTTAGCTTAAGGCCTTTCACTCTGTTTCCCAGCTAACAGCGGAAAGGGCTTGCTATTTCGGGTATCAGTGGAGCTGATCAAAAGTAACTGCTTGCCAATGGGAAAAATAATTCTTTTCCTGATACCTCTCAGTTGAAAGAATCAAAAGAGAACAGTGAGAGACGCTGTGAGAACGGTAAGATGGGAGGGGGGAAAACTGCATTTGTGTGTGTGTGTATATCGGCTTTAAAAGTGCCCTTTTAAACACAAGCAATCAAACCAGCCACCAAATAGAGGGAAGCCCAAACTGAAGCTTTCCCACCAGGCAGGGAGCCCGGCATGCCAGGTGGTGGCCCACATTCATTTCTAGCATCAAGCAGGTCATTTGAGCCCTATCCTATTTGCTGGTGCAGGTCGGGGCAGAGGGAGGAGGGAGGCCACAAGTGTACCTTTGCAGTCCATCTGCAGGCTCCAGCCTCTCCTCAGGGGGCCATGAAGCGCTTGAGATGCCATAAAGGAGCAATTGAGCCATAGGACACTGGGCTGCTGCTTGAGAAAACCCTGGCAGTACTGCAGGCACCCTCACTCTGTGGCATCCCTGGCACTGCTTGGAGCTCAGGAAACCACCTCCCTGCAAAAGCCAGAGCTGGAGAAGCGAGCAGCAAGGTGGAAAGGGAGCTGTGGGACAGACTGATGTCTGTTACAGAGTGAAGCCTCACGCTAACCTGTGCCTTGCAGCTAGCCCACGTCCACCAGGGACCAGCCTCTTGCAGGGCACATGGCAGCCAGGCACCACAACCGTCTGCCAAAATCAGCTTTACCACCCCAAACCCTGCAAGGACTCCTGCAGTTCAGAGGCACTCTGGGCTCAGCTCTGCTGGATGCAAGCGCGAATATTTATAGTAGTCCGGGCTCTCCCATCTGCGTGCTCCTTCCCTCTCCCTGGGTAGGGGCTCATGTCACGCCGCACCGTACTCAGAGAATTCAGTGGCTCAATGCAGAAGATCTGGGAGCTGTGCTTTTACATCCCCCCCAAAAGATGATCTAGTGGGAATGTCTTCAAACAAAACTTTAGAATATTTTAAATAATAAGTTAATTCTTAATAAATATGTGCTTCAAGAAAATGATAATTATATACTGCACCTTTAAATAATGCACTTAGCTCTCTGCATCAGCTTCCATTTTGGTTTTATTGTTAAAGTGCATTAATTCAAAATAATGAACCACTTCCGCATCATTATTGTTAAAATAAATCATAACAACATTAATACGAGTCACTAAGTCACTACTATTAGTACTGCAATCTAGCAGATAACTCTATGTATTGCTCTATTTAATACTGTCCAGCAGAAGAATATAATACTTCTATTATAATCTCACAACAGCTCCAGCAGTCTTTTACGGCTGCTACCATATTAGTACAACTAAAAATGGGGAGAAGTATGAGACACAGGGCCACAATGCCTCAGATATACATCCAGTAAGATGTAGCTAACTGGATATATATGTTTATATTATATGGTAAGTCACTAAGGTACAAAGAGGACCCTGCACACTGTGATACGAGCTGTTGTGCAGATGCACCTCCTCCTGCCACCACAATTTAAAGGGATCCCAACAAACCAGCCTCCCTCCCGACTTGGATGCAGAGAGCTGCTCAAACCACAGCACTGATTGTAGCCAGTTGTGGCACCTGGATGTCATTTCAGCTACCAAAAGGACATCAGTCAGGTTAGCTGTAGGCAACTCTCTCCCAAGGAAATTAATAAAAACCCCAAACCACTGCCATTAAACAGATCTCAAAAAAAAAAAAAAAAAAAAGACAGGAAAAAGGTCTAACTGGTGTAATTCTTTTTTGGCAGAGAAACATCCCAGGTAACACACAATGTTGTTGTGCTATTTTACTCAACCCCTTGATCCCAGCTATTTTAAAGTCTTTACAACCTTTACCTTCCAAGCCAAATCGGTATAACACTCTGGTGGAAAAAAGGGCATGTATTATTTTGTGTAAACCAGTAGTGAAATGGACTGCCCCCTCTCCCTTAAAACAGATTTACAATACTGCCTATTATTTAAAGGAACTAGATATTGATCTTGAGTGATTAACAAGGCCATTTAAAACAAACAAACAAGCACGACTTCCTCAAGTACAGTAGGGATTTAGCCAATGATGTTTACAGTACAAGAGTTGGCTACCTCACGAGTAACTCCATATTCCTAGCCTTTTCCAATGGATGCCTCTTCCATTTCCCACCACACTACCTCCACCATGTGCCACGTTTCAAAGCACGAGTTAAGAAAGATGAACAGAAATGGAACTAGAAGAGGCAGCTTCCTGGTTAGATGCATTGTAGACCTAATTGCTTTGATATTAAATCTCTGAGCCCGAGAAGCCCAGGCACACTTTCCAGTACAAATGTACTTTTTGGATTCAAGTGGGAACAGAAACGCATATTCGGCTCCTACTTCAGTTTTAAGTCTCTTCTGGTAAAACAAGATTAAAAAAATAAAGTAAACCCAGAATGCACAGAAAAGACAAAAACAGAACATAGAAAAACAATTCCCCAAAAATATACAAATTAAGGATGTGCAGACTGAGTTTGATGGCTTTTTTCCCCCCCCTCATTGTAAACACTGATGTTGCATAAAGTTACAGCTATTTCTAACTAATACCTCGGTGGGCCCTGCCAGCAGTCAGCACGCTTGGATTTGGACCAGATCACACAAACAGAAGTAACACATCCGACAGCTTTGTCTCTAGTGTCTTAAGGGACTTTTGTACATTTTGATATTATTAGAAGTTTTGAGAAACCCAACACTGGGAAGAGAATCAACCAGGATCACCTGGCAGGAGGCAGGTACAGAACTAAATACGGAGCCTACAAAGTAATCGATGTGCTTAAGCACGGAGTTTGTAAGTTTGTTTTTACAAGCACCATTAGGCATCGCTGCCCTAGAACACCTGAAATCCCAACTGAAAGAACGAGACAGAACAAAAGGAAACAAAAAGCCCCCAACCAACACCGCCTGATTGCCTTTTCCGGTGAGTTAGCAGTAACAACAAAACACAGCTGAAGTCAGAGACCAAATCTCTCCACAATGAAAAGGCTCCAACTCTGGACCAACCAACTGTTGAAAACAGTAAAAAAAAAAAGTGAACATCTCCAATGGATTAGTGTCCCTCTGTGTTTCATAAACTCCCACTCGCTTCTCACTGTAAGTTGTGGAAACACATCCAGAGCTCTTGGGTATTCCACGTATGGGCGAAAACAAGGAGAAAGGGAGCCAAGATTGTAAAACAGTTTGGCACAAAACTCCCCAAGTAGACACATGTGTATTTCTCTCTCACAAAAGGCACACATTTGGTTTCCTATCAATAATGGGAAAGATGGGATGTCATACCCTGTTACACATACAAGATTATTAACAACTTCACAAAAAGGCATTTGACTATGCTGCATCTTCCTCATAGTTGCTTACAACACAAACCTCTCCAGAATGTGGCAGATTTGTCCTCAGCATAGACTTCTTTGTCCCTTTGCACAAACTGGAGCACAGGGAAACGTCTTTTTGTGTAGCAATTGTTTTTTCCACACGTACACAGCAGGAACAGTATAAATTAGGGAGGTTAAAGATATTGCAATATTAGTTCTTTTTCTCCAAGTAATTTGAGGGCACCCAGCCTTTGAATGGCTTCACACCATTCATGATCTGGCAGTACCACCAGCCATTTGGGTTCCTTTCGAGGACTTCCATACAGACACCTTCCTGAAACCCTGCAGTTTCCTCATCCCCTTCATAGTCTGCAATGGAAACATAGATGTCCTTGAGATTGTTGTGGATGAACTGGGATTTCTCAATGGGCTTTGGCCTGACTGTGGACACAGGAATCCCATTCCTCTGGGAAGGGAGGTTGGAGGTGGTCTCCGAGCCCTCCGTACCTGACCGCTCAGGCTGCTTTCCCTTCGTGTCCCCAGGCTGTGACCATGCGTTGCTGAAGGAGGAATTACGACGGACGGTCCTAAGATGATCTGTAGTTGTTAAAGACTCATTTCTGCGCAAGGAGCATGACAGGTTGTTATCCTTTGGTGGTGGAGACACAAACACTGACTGCGGCCGGACGGCAAGTTGCCTTACACCATTCCTCATTTTGACTGGCCCTGATGGCTTTGAAAAACCGCCAGGAGGTTTGCTAGGGATAGGTGGTGTTGCACGTTTGCTCTGGTTGATGGTGTTCAAAGCCTGAACTCTCTTCTCTATCTTCTCTAAACTGTTTGACTTGTTTTCATTTTTCCTGTTCCTGGCAAATGAGGCATCAGTCTCTGCTGATGTAGTTTCTTGCTGGTTATCAGGGAGAGCCAAATAATGGGAAGGAGCCCAGCCTTCCGTGTCTCCATATTTCAGGTACCACCATCCACTGGCTTGCTTTTCCAGCACTTCCACTTCTACACCTGCTGGGAAGCAAATTTCAGAATCCTGTACCTTTTGGTATGAGTCAGTGGTCACATAGAAACACCTGGTGTCATTTTCTTGCTCAGTTTTGGCTGGATGGCTAGAGCAGAAAATGCCACGAGTAGGAGCTGTAATGAGATCAGCTGAGCTCCTCCTAACAGGATCATCTTGGTTCTCAGAAGCTGTGTGTGGGGGGCTCTCAGACTCTTCGCTTCTTGAACCTTTAAGTCCACCTCTGAGTTGTCCAGTTGGCCTCAGCTGACGCCTTAAAGTGCTGATATCCATCTTTTCTTGGCTCTGAGAGTCTGCCTTGTTCAGGAAGGGTTTGGGCCTAACAATTGGCTTTGCTCTAATAGAAGGACTTTGCCCAGGCTCTTTCTTCACGCCTGTTCTTGGCATGCTACGCAAGCCAACATCTGAAGCTGACCTCGGTTTAGTCTCCTCGCTCCTAGAATAGTGACATTTTCCAAGATCAGGCTGGATGTTCTTGTCCATCTTGAGCTTCACAAGTGATGATTTAGGAGAGCTGGAACATGGAGAATTTCTTCTGATCAAGGACAGAGAGGAGCTTTTCTGAGAATCCGAGTCTCCACTGGATTCCTTGTTGGACAAAGCATCTTCCACATAACGCCTGAATCCCTCATTCTCATAGATGGTCTCTTCTTCATGAGCAACATCTTCTGAAGACTCTCCTACTTTGAACTTTGCTTTCTGAAGTGATGACACAGGAGAGGGCTTGAGGGGCTGAAACAGTCGTTTTTCAGGAGCGCCCTCTTCACGATGACTTTCACTCACTTCACACTCCGAGTCAAAGCCAAAGGCAGGCACATCATACTCGGGTTCTTCATATTTCAGCTTGTGGGGAGAGTCCTGGGGGGCATCTCCTGAAGAAACCATTCCAGAAGTTGTTCCTTCTTCAGAGTCTTTTGGTTTACTGGGAGGTGCTGGGGGAGGAACTTTTGGGCGGGTTAAAGTACTGGTTCTTCTGTTTAAATTCGGCTTCTTCCTCTTGTCAATGTAAGATGCTGGAGCCCATCCTTCCTTCTCTCCAATCTGCACGTACCACCAGCCACCAGAATTCTTTTCTATAACCTGGGAGATGACAAGGGACATGCTACTCAGACAAAAATTTCAACCAATTGCTTTCCACTCCTCCCCTTTCAATCCAGTCCCCTGCAATAGCCAAGTATCACAGTTTTACCAGCTGCACTGTTAAGGCTCACCTCTGCTTTTTGTCCTCCACGAAAGCTTATGCCATCAGAGATACATGACTGGAACTCCGCAATGGTGTAGTATTCCACTTCCACAGAGGGTGGCTCTGGTGGTTTGGGCAACTGAAAACCCTATGGCAAACACGAAGTTTTGTGCAATTAAACCAAAGAAACAGTTGGCTGAACAGCAGTATGAAAACATATTTGTCTTTATTCACTAAAACTCTTCCTTCTTCCTGTGCTGCTTCCTAATGATAACTTCCGAGTCCTCCAGAGCAGAAGTTGATGTATTAAGATGGGCCACAAGAGAGAAGCTTTTCAAAATATGTACTGTTCATGCTGCCTTCACCAGCTATTAAAACTGTGATAATCTTTACCTAAACAGTAAAACATTTTACTGATAGGCCATAAAGCGTGAGCTGCCATTCCAGTCACAGTAACAACAGTCCATTTACTCTGAGATTTTGTCCAGAAAGACTCATTTCTGGATGGCTTGCCGCAACTGCAGAAAACTGCATTGCAACAGGCCCATAATACATTCTGCCTATCATCAAATATACCACCGTAAAATGTAATCCTAATGATTTATTGCTCTTAATCTGCTGCTGGATTTTTAAACAATCTGAAATAGTCAGTGATACAAGCGAATGGGCATCTGTTGTAGCAAGAAACAAGGATAATATCATAGACCCCTATGAAGGGCTTTGCTCAGCTGAAGTGACAGAAGAAAGGACTTTACTATAGGATCAACAGATTCCAGTTCCTCTCCATAAGAGGGACCCAGAACCTCTACTCAGTCCCAACACAACCTGCATTTAAATTGCATAGAAGCTCCATGAGAAGCAGGACACTGCTATTTACAGCCATTCTGGCAGCATACTAGACTCCTCTCAAAGCTAAGTGCCTTTACATTAAGCTGTCACATTTTAGAGTTTGTTACAATTATTTTTAAGGTGGTAAATGGGATAAGAGTCCTTTCAAGATTTTAAATATTGAAAGCTTTTCAGATTAGCACATTGCTCATCTGCAGAATGACCAGATGATGGTAAAGCTTCACAGCTTCTGCACTTCACCGCTTCTCGGTCTAACAGAAGAACTGCAGTATGTCAGGATCTCTTGAACACAGGTCAGACCTGCCACAGGCAGACACAGGATAGCCAAAGACACAAAATGATCCTAAGCCATTAATGGGAAAAAGGCACTGTGCTTTATTCCCATGCTCTTCCATTTCTAAGATACCCCCGTTGTAACTAACAATCCATGTTTCATCACGCACAGCATGTGGCATTTCACAGAGAATGCATCACTGCACCTTAGGAACCGTGTCTAACAATGTTATAATTGGATGTTTCTGCACTATAAATGGTGAAATACAGCAGAAGTGCAGCATAATAAAATGCTTTCAGATAATAGGATGGTTTGGATTAAATGAAGATAATTGGAAACAGCAGACATGTTCAGGGTTTCACATACATTATCATTGTTATTTTTAGCATGGGATTAAGTGTAGTAGTCTTGCCAAAACAAAGACTAATTGAAAATAATCAAAGAGAAATAGGAAGAAAATGCTAATATGCTATTCATCTAGTTTGTTAAGAGGCATCTCAGATGACACAGTAAAATTACAAGCCACATACTGCTCATAAAGGGTACAGCAAAGATTAAACACTATGTATTGCCTAGTCACAAACAAATCATTAGCATGACTTTTGTGCAAATAGACTGAGTAGTTCCCATCTGAAGATGACAGCCCCAATCTCAAATTGGTCCGAATTTCCAGAATTCTAGCTTTGAAGATAAACAACCACAGGAGGCCTCATTCCTGTAGCCTCATCCTTCCATAGTATCCCAAGTTATTTTAAACACACACAAGGGTGAAGCTTAGCCACCTCAAAGATGGTAGCAATGGAAGGAGGGGAGACCTTCTCAGTTGTTAAAGATAAAAGAAGGTCAAAAGATCCAGCCTGGGCTGAAGACACCCAGAGGAACTTTAAACCCTTTGAGTCAGCCAAACGGGCTCTAATGCTCATGCACAGAACATAATAGCTTTAGGATGTTCTCCCTTCAGATCATCACCTGCTTAGTTGCAGCAACATTTTGAAAAACAGAAACCCCCAACATTAGGATATCTAGAGGTCTGCTCAATACTTAAACAATAAAATGAAGAGGCACTCAAATAAAGGATCTCTCAGATACTCCTCACACCTTGTACAGCTGTAGAAAGTCTCATAAAGCACCCACACACCTACCCCACTGCTAACATACACCATAAACCAATACAAACCAGACTGGATTCTCTTCGTGGGGGCGGCCTTGTTCTTAGATTTGGAGAGCCTGAGCAGGAAAAGGAAAAGGGAGAGTTTATTTAACTTCATAAGTCCTACTAAACACATTTTTCAGCAGTGCTCTGCTGTTACACAGTTTGAGAATACTAGAAGTCAGTACTTGCAATATTTAAGGCACCTCTATGAAACAAGATAGGAAACTATGAGGGTATATTAGAAATACCAAGGTAGCTTAGCTACTCATCTCAGCTAAGCCAGCAAATTTAAGAGGAAATCACTGCCAGAAAGTAGTGGATTGTATTTTCTGCTGGAACTGACCAGCTTCATTGGAGATTGGCCAGCAAAGAATTGGCCTAATACCTAGTTTTCCCCCCAGCAGTAAAAATAATCCACTAAATTAATAACACTCACACTGTCCTCTTTCCTAGTACCTTGCCACTCCTTGCACAGACTAGCGTTAGCATCTGCATTTTGAGATGATGTAGTAAAAACATTATAGCAACTTGCCCCTAGGAAAACAGCAGAACAAATACAAGAGGAGACATCGGTGGCCTCCTTGACTTCATCACATCATCACATCACCTGCATTATGGGGGCTGGGGGGCACATTTTAGCATGTTCAAAAGGAAAAAAACTTCTCTGGGAAAAAGAAAAAAAAAGTAAACACATACTGGCTAAGATAAAGAAGAACCAGCCAGCCCTTGTATAAAGTGAAGTTAAATTTTATCACTGCTAGTAAAGGACCACATCCTGGAGTCCCTGCAGATCTACAGAAAACGCAAAGATCTGCTCGTGTGGCCTCAGCCATAAGGCCAGGACACCTGGAACCTTAGCTGACAGGCAATGCCAGCCATGAAAGGCAGAAAACAAGAATTCATTGCAAGCCAGTAGAAACGCAGACTATTTTACTGCCTTACTTATTTGAGCTCTTTGTGGTGCTATCCTTGCTATGGCTGGGGATCCCTGGGCCAGTTTGGAAGCCTGCTTGTCTGGGGTCATCATGGCATTGCCATTAGAGTCATTGCACAGGATGGGCAAACTGATTTCCTTCTTGGTGATATGGGTTTCTGCAGTCTCGTTTTCTGCTTGAGTTTCCTTGTCAGTGGATGATTCAGGTTACTGATCTCCATGATGTTTCCTATGATTTCCACTGGCCCGGTTAAGTTCTTTTTCCTAGATGGAAGATCATCTTTAGCCTTCTTCAGGTATGAAGCTGGGGCCCAGCCCTCTTTGCCTAGGTACCTGCAGATGCAAAACGAAACATTATGACATCAAACACAACCTTCTCATGCATTTCAGGTATAATAGCTAAGGCAAAAGTGATGGGTGATATCATAGAACAAAATTCACAGTTCTTGGATAAGCTTTTGTGGTCTCTATTAATTTATTACCTATCGATTGGACATCTTAAAGTCAGCTGAGCCAGCAGTGAACTGTGGACTGCTGTTAAAAGTCACTAATCACCCTAAGGAAGGAGTGTCTTTGAATAAGACAACCCTTTAAGTGCCTTGGGCAAGCCCCCCCTCTTGCAATTACAATGAACACTGCCCCTCCTCCTATAACTCCCAGTCCTGCATGATCAGCTTCTCTTACGGAGAATATGGGACTCAAACTACTGCAGCTCCCTCTAGCACTGCCAGGTCAAGAAACAATTTGACTAAGGAAAAAACGGTTTTGATGGAGACTCATTTTTCTAAACAAGCTAGGGCTATTTGAAGAAATAAACTGGGAAATCTGAGTAGACACCTGAATCCAGTACACGTTCCCGGAGCACCAGCCTGAGCTGCTCATGCTACACTTCAGTTTGAAGTCATTCTTCCACAGCTGGGCTTTTGGGAAGATGGTTTTTCTAACTCCTGCCATTCCTAACACCTCAGCAGGGATTTCAGATTACAATCAGACTCCAGGAAGGACCATGTGGATGAACTCTGCTTTCCCTAATGAAACCCTAACTTGCTACAGAGTGAGTCACTGAAACCTGTCTCTCTTTAATCTCTCAAGATGCCCAAAGCAGGCACTTGAACTGTAAGTGGGAAAGCAGGCACCATTAAAATACTGGTGCTCAGGAAATCTGCAGGAAATACAAAGGTTGAAACAGTAGGACTCTAAGGCTCTTTAATGAAAATGGAGACTCATTAGACAGCAGAGGAAGGAGTCAGGGGGTGGGGAACATCAGTAAATCATTCCCTGACAGATGAGCAACTTTGTCATGCCAATACTTGGATTCTGAGGTTTGCAGTGAGATTTCTGCACCAGGGCATGCCTTGGGCTCATTCACCACATCCAGACACTCAAGAGCGGCACTTGGACTTTATGGGGAGAACAGGAAAATGCAGTGCACATTTGCTTCTCTAGACTTCTTCATTACTTGTCCTGTACAAAAGCAAGTACAATTGCTGTACTGCTAGCAATGACCACATGGACCTTTCTGTCCAAAATCTTGCCTTTTCCTCCCCTCCCATCTAGATGAGCCAGAATACTAGAGATGCTGCTTCTCCCTACATACGTGCCTTCTGTCACACATGAAGGCAAAGATACAGGATCGCCACTGCTCAAAGTTTAGCAACAAATTTTTCCAAAGGTTCTGGTGTCAAAGGAAAGCATCCCGACAGCTCTGAGCTTTGTTTGCTACACGGAGACTAATAAGAAGTAGCAAAATGGTAATGACTTGGTGTGACTTCCAACAAATACACATCATCCAGCCATTGATACTACGTCAAGATGCAATTTGGATCTATTAAATCCTGTCCCCTTCGAGGTTCTTCTGATAAGCCTCAAACCAAGCCAAAAATAGAAAAAAAAAAAAAAAAAGCAGCGCATCAATATGTGCCACATCCCCTATTGTGGCAAGGCATTGCTCAGTGCTATTTTCCAGCCCTGAAGACTTTTGGCTAGCCTTTTGTAGTAGATGGCCCTTTTGCAGAGTTACTGACCAATGCTTTCTGCTGCCTGTGCATCAGGAAAGTTTTTCTAAAGGATGTTTATAACTTTACATGACCTGGAGATGAAAGCCACATTGGCCAATGCACTGAGCACTCCAGTTCCAAAGGTTACTTTCAACAGAGCTTGATTGTGCAAAATGAGCAAGAAAAAACAGTTTACATCCATCTTAGTTTGTGGGAGACTTAACATGTTTAAGATCAGAAAGGCAGCCACAGGCAGGTTCTGTACTGGCTTGTTAGTTCTCCTGCCAACTGTATGCATTTGGATCAGCCCATATAACCCCACTGCTTCAGACACCTCTGATCTCACATAGTTTCTCACAATGAATAGTAGCAGCAATAGCTGGACAGTTAATAACTCCGGGCAACATACCCTTAGTAGAGAGGCTGTTGTTGGTTATTTCTTCCTGTGAGTTAGTAAATTCAACCTGAAGTTAATGCTGAGCAGTAGTTGCCAGCAACTGCTGGTTTATTTGTGCAACATCACAAATAAAAGCTACTTATGTAAGTCAAATAGGCTTACATTTTTCAGCTTAGTCCTTGAATTTGGAAATCTCAAAGCCTTTGCAAACATCACCGTAGAAGACTACTTAATCTTGCCATTTTATAGGTAAAAGAACTATGGCAACTGCTAATCAGCTTCAGAGAAGTCCTGAACTGGTAATCTTCATTCGCATCTAGGAGTTGAATCACAAGGATCCTTCCTTCATTTATGTTCACAACATACTGGAGACTTTTCAAACCCTATCCTAAAGTCCTCCTCATTTCAGTGCTGCTAACACCTCCCAACTGCACCTTATTCACATGGACTGAGGCTCAGAATGAACCACAGAACGAAGATGCAGGCAAATAATAAAAGCTTTACTTCACATATTGCTTCTTACTTGGCCTGCAATCCACTTGGGCACCGTAAGATTATCTCCAGGTGAAAGTAACTGATACAAAGTGAGATCTAAATAATGGATGCTAATGCCACCTACGATCATACCAGGAAGCACACAGCTCCACTGAACTCAGCAGAACAGCAAGAAGGATCCCAGGTTAGAGCCTTTCTTTCTCTTCTCCAAAGTCCCAATGATTTTTTAAAAAGTCATAATGCACAGAGGACAAAATAAAGGAAGATACCAATATTGCCTCTAGTGTCTACAGCATTGAATTGGGAGGGTCACAGAATTAGGTGCAACGATTTGGTTCCTCGGTGATTCCAAAACCCTCCCTGTTTATATTATATGAAGGAAAAAATGGATTCAAACCATAGGAATGTTAAAAAAAGTCAGAAGTGCCTCTGTGAGTCTGAGAGTCACATCTGCTTTCCAGCTCCAGAGCACTGGAATTACTCCAGAGGGAAGCAAACTAGGGGAAAAAAAAAAAGGAAAAAAAGAAAAGGAAAAAAAGAAAAAGAAGGACAGGAAATGAGGATCAGCACATGGCCAGGAATTTGGGGAAATTACATATTTAAGGTGGAACAAGCTAATGTCTTTAAGGTGGATTCTGTTTGCAAGCTGCTGGATTTGCTTTTATTTCTACACATTGATGTGTGTGTTCACTCTCTCTTACCCAGCCCAGCAGACAAGGCAGCAGGATTCAACTGCAGTCCCTTCCTGCTCCCTCTCCCGTCACACTCACTGCAGGAGAAGGAGTTGCTCCTTTTAAGGCACTCAGTACTCAGAAAAGCATATTTCTGCAGAAGAAGAATCCTGAGTGATACCAAACAGTATTCAGAGCAGTGTAAGTCTAATAAAGAGCAGAAGAAGTCGGAGATCAGCTACCCAGGCTGTAAAAGACCAGCTTGCAGGGATGAATCACCACATTAACACTTCCAAAAGTGTGGCCCATGGAAAAAAAGAAAACTGTTTCTAAGAGCAGCTTAATCCTCCAGCAAGACTGCAGCATAGTGCTCCATAGCAGCAGAGAGGATGATGGCTGACACCTGACACACTTGTCACACACATATGGGGAGCACCTTTCAACAAGAAGAGGGGTTGCTCAACTCAAAATGCCTCTTACAAAAAATCCAAGGGCATGCTGCATTCCCCAACTACCATGGAGTGGTTGGGGCATCCACTGTCCTTCCAGGAGATCACCGTGAAGGAGCCACTTAAGCCACTGCAGCAAGTGTCACTGTCTACCAGAATGTACCTCTGCTATATAGAAAAACGTGTGTTTTGGGCTGGCCCAAAGGAGTGTGTGAGGGAAAGGGAAAAAAAAGAAATTCTGAGTATTGTAGAACTGTTAATAAGGCAAAGGGGAACCTACAGTAGTAATAAGGTCGCATTTCAGAAAGAGACTACCAAAACAAACTAAAGATGTCTTGCAACGTTTCTCCCCTCAGAAAACCTATGTGCTCTTGATTCCTCTATCTGCAACTTTGGATTCCACTTCTGTGAATGATTAAAGGAGAAAAAAATGTGACCTGACCAAACACAGGCACTCCTATCTAGAGTGCCTTCCTGGCTCCACTGCTATCTTTATTAGCCTATTCCCTCTATGGGAGCATTAGACAGAAGAAAAAAAAACAAACCCGTTTTCTAAGTAAGAGACATCAAGAAAACAACATTGCTTCAGTCAGCATTTTCATAGTCCTCATTCATAGCTGATAAATCAAGCAGAATTCAAACAAAAGGAAGTTATAGCTTGGGGAGGGAAAGGGGAAAAAATAATCGCTATAATTACAGGCTGAATGGAAAAAGATGACTAGATGAGATGTTTTGCACTGCCCAAGAGATAAACTTCTGTTTTTAAGCTACCTGTTGTATCACATATTGTTTAAAGAGAAATAGGTTGCCACAGCACTGCTGGATTCACACAAAGACAAGGGACAGAATCATGAAAGAGCACTAAAACTTAAGTGCTGTATGAACCTAGATGGACAAAGCTCTCACTAAGTATTCATCCTAACACCTTGTATCACTCTCTGAGATATATCTAACTTGCATTCTCCCCATAAGCTATTAAAAAGTGGCACAAATCTCCTCTATAACTGCTGTTTCAAATACATAACAAAGTTTGATATACAATAACTTCGCCTACCCTTGGAATCCAGTCCTTCTACATTAGGAATATCTAATGCAGACAGGCAGAAATCAGGCAAGTTAGTTGAAACCATCAATAACTTTGGAAAAGGGCTATAGCCAGCAAACTGAACTCTAATATCCCTGAAAATACCACTACCTGCCCTAAACAGCTCAAGAGATCACAATCAGCCTTTCAGCATTGCTATAAATAGATTTAAACATGTTGCAGAATAACTCTTATACTGGAAACACATTAAAATTACATACAACAGAAAGCCTTGTTAGGTCTCCCAGATCTTAACTCAGATATGGGCTTTTAACTTGAAGGAAGAAAAAAACCCCAAACCCTACGAGTTCAGGAATTTCTCCACTGGAATGATCCACAGCTTTTGCAGACACTGTAGTGTTACTTTAATCACCATTGTATCGTCTAGCCTTTTCTTTACGTTTCTTCAAGAGGCAATAAGAACAATTCGGGCTTCCTTGCCCAACTACAGAATTATTTAAACACTAACATTAAGTGAATGATCAGAAAAGCTCATTATCACAGGTTCTGCAGCAATCTGGCTGCACGGCTTCTTTACCTTATGTACCACCATCCTTCGAGGTTCTTTTGGATGACCTCCACGGTGACCCCTTTTTCAAACCCAATCTCATCCTTCCCCTGGCTGGCGTACGGCTGGATAGTGACATATTTCTCTTCTAGTGAGGGGAGAAAAGGCAACATCAGTTAGGGTCAGAATCAGTCCAGCTGTTTTTCTGTTCTGCTTGCTTTTAAACTGTTATGCAGTGATTACGTGGAGCCATTACAAAAGGCGGAGCCCTGCTCAGGGGCCCACTGATTATTTATGCTGACGACATGATAGATAATCAGCCCCTTGCCACTACCCTGCTGCTGATAATCACAGGGTGTTTCCATGCCAATAATGACACAAAGTCCCCAGAGAGCTTTCCCCCTTCTTCCCGCCCCCCCTCCAAGTTCCTCGAGTGGCTAAGGGAGAGGATTTGAAGCCGGACTTAACTCCCATACTGTAACTTGACAGAATCAACCCAGCTGCCAAATCAGCCAAGCGTCACCACGGGAGCTCCAGCCAGTTGGCTCTTTGAACACGCACATGGCTGCACAAAGCATTGTGTTACTGAAACCCGAGTGCTGCATCCCGAGAGGGACCAATCCTCCCCAACACAGGGGGGCTGACCCATCACGCTGCTCTCCTTGCACCTCCCAAACAGCACAGGTCTACAGCAACGAGCTTGAAACAGCATTAAAAAAAAAAGTGACAAAAGAATAAAAGGGTTTGCATTTGACAGGAGACCATACAGCATTTGCATTTGTGGGTTGTGAAGTGTTTCACAAACATATTTTTGCTAAACCTCACTCCAGAGAAATAATACATGTGCGGCAGTGTAAAGGAGGGCCAGAACGAAGGCACCACTTCAAAAGCACAGGCTAGATTTCCAGTATGGTGTTTGAGCCAAAAACATGGCATCCCTATTCATCTCCAGCATCTATCCCCTTCCCAGGTGGGCAGAGGTGAGCAGACTTGCCAAGAGCAAACCAACAAGCAGAGCAGAACAGACACTTTTCTCAGCACCTTCCTCCACTCACTAGGAGTCATTTACTCCAGCATTTCCATCATGCTCAAGGTCAACCTTTTACTGCATTAACTTAAAAAATTACAACTGTCATTGAAAACATGAACTACCAGCCTTGTTCTGCAGCAGCAGACAAGGCAAGTGCTACCAAACCTCTCCTCTGAACACAAGCTACAGTGCATGTAACAGCATGAGTTTCTGTAGCTGGATCAAAGGCAGGGCAGGCAAGCAACAAAGCACACCCCAACCGGCCTTCCTAGCACTTCTACTGGCAGTTGCAACAAGGCATGGCCAGGAACAAATAGAGGGTTGTCAGTGCACTGGAACAGGCAGGAAATTAAGTTAATCCAGAGCTCCTCATCACTGCAGAACAAAGGAGCTATGGAAGGGTTGCAGCAGCTTGAGGCAAACACTCTTTTGGAGAGAGTGAAGCAGACCCAGCCATCTATTTGGTTCTGTGGCTCAACTGCATTTTGTTGCTGGGCAAAGCATGAAAAGTTTAAAGAAAAGAAAAAAACCTTACAGAGACAAAGTAAGAAATAATACCTCAGAAAGGGGAAAAAAAATGTTGGCAGAGCATCTGATGGCAGAAAATTAGCAAAGCCACATCTCTGAAGTCAGCTTCCTCAACAGGTTGCATTTGGATCCTTACAATTCTGATAGGGTAAAACCTGTCAAAACCCTTGCCTCCAAGAGGCAAATACTCTTTCCTGCTCTCCCCTAGGAGGGCTGCTTTAACCGTTTGATCACTGGTAAGGAATTCCAGCTAGTTTGTAATTAGCACCATCAGGATATGACACCTTCCCCACAGAAATATTCTACTACAAGATAGGGCCTGATGAATGAAACCTGGCTAATGAAACCCAGCTTCAAAGTCCCAGGGCAGTATTCCTAGATGGGTTCCTGCTCTGTGTGGTAGAGGCAGACTCATTTTTCCTCTGTTTCAAGTGACTGCTGCTGAAGGAGTTAGATGCCCAGTTTCCACTGCATGCAAAGCCCCAAGCACTAAACTGAACTGCAGAAGATCCCTGGAGAGCTACGCCTCATCCCTGAGAGGAGAGGACCAAGGGAAAGTTCAGGTGTGCAGAGCTGTGCTGTCCAGATAAACATTGCTTCAGACGCATCCAGGGATGCTTTTAGGACAGTAATAAAGAGCTAAGCCACGTGTTTGCTGGGTGTTGGAAGAAGGTCCTACTTTGTCTCTCCCCCATACCAAATCCACTTTATAACCCAGGATATCGGAGTTCACCCTTGCCACTACAGCTACAACAGAAGTTTCTCTGTTTATCTTATTTGTCCTCCACATAAACAGCAGTCCCTGCTGAAGCTAAAGCCAGCTATTCAGCTCCTCTTCCTGGACAGAGTGGTTTCACTCTTCAGGGATGTGACTTTCCTTCTTCCACAGAGGACAGGGTAGGAGGCCGTGAGTGAGGTGCTCACTCCTAGATTTCAACATAGCTTTCCAAACTCCT